TAGAAGCCTTCAAGATTGTTAAGGGGTTGTCGGACATAGAACTAAGCAGCCTCTTCGTTCGTGCACCAAAGTGCGGCACCAGAGGACATAGTCTTAAGCTGCAAAGAGAGCACTCCAGGTTGGAGCTGAAGGCCAGGTTCTTCACAAATCGGGTGTTACCCTTGTGGAACAGATTGCCGGAAAATGTTGTAAGCGGCTCAACAGTTGTAGCCTTCAAAAAGGCCTTGGATCTGTGCTGGGATGTGGTTTTCCCGGAGCTGGCCATTTGAGGGACAATAACGGAATAAGGTGAGTCGTTCCTGTAATAATGTATTTCATTTCTACATATCTGGTGGATGAGATACTGCACCCAAATATTCTGCCTTTCAGAAACAAGCAGAACGAACCTTTGACGAGCAGTGCTGGAAGCTAAGGAGACTAGCTGAAAACACAACTATCTGGACGCACGATTGGTCTCGGCCACTACTGTCCTGTGCGAACTGAAATGAACTGAACTGAAACCTAGCAGTGGTAGGGGCCAACACATGACTTACTACCAAAGGAACTCTGGACGCCCGACTGGCCATGACCATCTCCGGTCTTGTGCACATTGACTAACTAACTGATTGACGAGTTCTTGCCTTGGCTGGAATTTGTTTAAGTCAATCACAATTACTCAAAGCCATAGTAAAAAGCCTTCTCTTATTCAAAAGTGTTAAAATGTCACGAGACTCATCCGAAGAGCGAACAAGAGCACCAAAATGTACTTTCGAAGTTTACCGGTCTGAGGGCGACTCAATGTTCCTGAAAAAGAAATACACAAAAGCAATTGACTGCTATACAAAGGTAATGAACGAAATTAATTTTTCCAGTATTTCATAAATATACAGGCCATTGAAATGAAAGGAAACGATTTACATTGTCTACTACGGAGATCGGCTTGTTATAAAATACTTGGAGATTCCGATAAAGCTCTTGAAGATTCGGATTTGGCACTGAAAACAAGTCCAGATAACCATAAAGTGAATTTGAATTTGAGTTCTTTCCAATTTAAATTTTTCATGAAAATCCCTTGTAACATGAATGTTAGGCATTTGAAACATAGTGTTTTACACTAGAAGTCGCTTTATAGCCTCGAACGTAAGCTGTAGTTCCCAACCAGCATGTGCCATGGTAGCTACTCTTTTTAGAAGGGAGCCGAACCCTGGGAGAAATGGGGCCCAGTGTGGGTAATCGGGAGAGGATGGGGTGTTATGTCCATTCCGCTAGACCCGATCAGTTTAGTTCTTAATACTGGTGTTCGGTTTCTGAAGGTTTAAATATTTACCGTTCTAAAAGTTCGCTCGAGCGACACAGACTGAACCGTCGTTCAGTCTGTGCAAATGTGCGAAAAAGGGTGTGCCATTTCCGCACTCTGAGCGCACTGGAGTCGTTCTCATAGAGCACTGTTGCTGCCAGGGATGGAAGCATCACGCAGGTTATACACTCAGGTACCTGAATTTCCCCGGAAATTTCCCTGAATGTCTCCCTGAGTGAAATAGTGGGCGTCTGATTGAAAAGGTTACGGTCTCCTTAGGAGACGGTTGACTATAACGTTAGCCTATTATCAATTTCAATTACTGGTAACAGGTCCCTTTCGCGTGATTTTTCGAAACCCGATCTTGGTTTTTGATCAAATTACTTGTAAATAACTGTTTACAATGTGTCCCAATTCAGAAGTTGTATTTCGTCGGTGTAGCTTTAATAGACCGCTTTTAAGCAGAGCAAAAAAGCTTCTATTTTTTATACTTCTTGTCGGCACAGGATTGAAACTGTGTGCATTTTTACACCTTGTCTGTGTGTATAATTTGGGTAGAGATAACAAATGCTTTAGTAAGAGAACCACAATCAGTGATTATGCAGCTTAAACGGAATGGTACTCGTTCTGTCTTTATCTCAAGAAGATTAGTATTCGGCTTTAGTTTGAAGCATGTATTATGTATTTGTTGCTTTTAACTTTGATTTTTTATTTACCGTCTAGCCGTTACGTTTGAGCAATATTCAACATTTATCGATGGCTCGTTTTAACTTTGTTGCGGTCGGTTTTCTATTAGCAGATATTATGAAACATACCATTTCACAACTCAAATTGAGCATTCAATAATGTTTTACAAAGACACCTCAAAAGTATGAGTAAAGCTTATGGAGCATATTCAATTTAATACAAAAGCATTAAAAATTAAATACAGCTTCCAATGGTGGCTTGTGATATCAACAAAATTTATATTCTCTATGTATGCATATATATGCATCGACGTGCATGGTTAATGGTTTTAAACACTGAACTGCACTAAACTAAAGTAAAGGAAGCGTACACGAAGAAATTTACTTAGGTTAGAGAAATGTCTTGATGATAAAATGGATTAAGGAAACACTTAGTTGTTTTTCTAAATGCTGTGTTCTAGTAAAATATTCAAATACATAAATGAAAAAAGCAACAATGCATTGTGTTCATCCGGAAAAACAGAAAATAAACCATGAGATTTTCGAAGATGCTAACGCTCAAATAAAAGCTACACATGTGTATTTAATTTTCTTAAAGTCCTGCTTGTTTATATTAGTCCTAAATTATAGCATGCGATGCAAAGCCGGTGTTGAACTTCTGTAGCAGAAAATACTATTGACCCTTCAAGTTAACCCCAATCTTTCTTCAAGCAGTGAATATGGGAACGGAATTGTAAACACTCAAGTACCCTTAAACAAAAGAGACGCAATATAACCTTATTGACTTTGTCCTCCACAGATCAAACTGAGTCGTGACTAATCTAATAGGATGATTCCAAACTGTACTCGATGATTCAATTTACTACCGAGATTATACTGTTGAAAGGATGTCCCCAATAACTGTTCCTTAGGACGGGCACTAGAAGTTTACCGATGAAATACTATATTAACATTATATTACATATAACTGCAGTTTAAAGGTTATGTTATCATTTGTTCATCTGCGCAACAGATGGGTGTAGAGTGGAGTTAAAAAGAGAGAAAGCAACAGCTAGATCAACTCAAATGCACCCACTCTGGCTCTCAAATTCATTTAAAAGTATTCGTTAGGTCGCTTACTCGTGAATGAAGGCTTTATTTTTTGTAAATATGAAAGTGAACCTATACATGTAAAAATTCAAATAATTGGGAGTTCAAAGGGAAGAGTGAAAAATTACTATACTGAATAAACAACATGTAACAGATTAAAATAATTCAATGTAGTTGGTGACATTCATGAAATTCATGAGACTGTGGTGCTCTGATTGGAACTTAGAAAAGTTTGGCACAGATGAAGGAAATAATAATGATGACTTGTAGTGATAAAAAGGGAAGATAGCGATGGATATTTTGACAGTGATGAATAAACTTATGCATTAGAGGCCAAAAGTTGAATTAACTTCTAAAAATTGCATATCAATGGTGAGAAGCTGACTGAAAAACTAAATAAATGACTGCGATTTCACACCAAATCATACATAATCGGATTGCAAATTGGCTTACGTAAATGCGAAAGAGAATCTTGGAATTGATAAATCCAACAAATATTTCCTAACAATTGGATTACCGATAGCATGTCATGTTGAAAATAATCCCACGTGAATAAGGTGGTCAGAACGATACCTATGTATAAACGAGAGTAACCACTTGTGTTTTCCTTGCGTGCGTATGCATAGTGAAGTCTATCAGAGAAAAACACCTGTACAATGCTCCAAAAGCTTTAATTTTGATGGCGCGCATCATATACTGGGATAAAACTTTCTCTCACTAATGGCTTCACAGAAAGATTCCGTATGTTCTCCTTTCAAGGGTCTACTTCAAAAAGCACAGGTACTCTACAATCGGGGAGAATTCGAATACGCTCTGATGTTTTTCCATCGCGGGCACAGCAAGCGACCGGAGTTGCAAGAGTTTCGTATCGGGATACAGAAGTGTGAGGAAGCAATTAAAAATTCATTGCAACGTAAGTTGGTGTGATTCTAAATGTGGAGAACAAATTCCCAATTGACAGCAGCTACACGTAATCAGCTACTTGGAAACAAATCAAGCGTAATTTATCATTATAACTTTTCAAAATGAATAGCTTTCCCCAGTTAATGGAATGTACTGTCCGTGGTTTGTGGCTTATATGAGCCTATTGCATCAAAGTGAACGTACATCTTTGAAAGCCAAGTATGGCTTGTGAATCCGTTCATCATTTAATCACGCCAGGCATGTTGATATAACTCAGAATAACGTAAAGATAAATGAATTAATGAACATGCACCGCAAAACTACGTATTGCAGAGATTTGTTTTCGTTTAATTTTCATCTTATATTTTGAAATGTCTTCCAGATACAAAAGGATTGTGCGTCACGGAAGAAGGATCTGCTGCGTTCAGAGCTGAAATGGATGAGGTAAGTGGCACTAATAGTCACGGTAAAAATCATTACCTTCTTCAGCTCAAACCTATTTCTTTCTCTTTTAGTCCCCTAAATCGCGGTGTTATCGTTTAAATGGCTTCTTCAGAAGATAGTTGATCTTCTTTAACTTGTAAGGATTGAGACGCAGCCTTGGATTTGGCGTTAACGAAAGTCTTGGGTTTGTTGTAGGAAATTCCACGGGTATTGAATGAAACGTGTGAACCGGTTACCATACTGGCTTAGAAACGATAACAGGTTCTCCTATGATGGTCAAAGAAAGATCAGTTTGATTGACCTCATCCTTAAGCTTCTTCCTGGTATAATAATCTTAAGTTCCTGCAGAAGGCTCAAACGGAGTGCGTACGAGAATCAAGCTGATTTTAGACTTGGTCAAGAATGTTTGATGTTTGTTTCAAAATTTGAACAGCAAAGCTCGCATCCGTGTTTTTCATTGTAAGGTGATAAAAGAGATGATTATTACTAAAAAGACGTTAACTTAACAAGAGGGAGAGATTTTATTTTGTAATCTATGTCCCCAGAACATTTAGAAAAAGGTACCTGAATTTATGTTTGATTTATCGTATCAGGCGGCTGCATAAAAATGTTTCATGTGAGCATTTTTGAGTGCCTGTAACATAAAACTTCTCCCTATACATTTGTGGTTGTCATGTGTGAAAAGATGTATCCTCATGAGGTTATGTATTCTCACAATGCATGTACGATAAGTATGTGGTACTACCCAGAACGATTTCGATGGCATTTTCTTTGCAACATCAGTTTCAAACTTTGGCAGAATTTCAGGTTTTAACTGACTCAGTTGTCAGGTGTATTACATGTCCAAGTGTTTCGTCTTCCGATTTATTGAGTTCATATGTTAAAAAAGAGACGTCACAGATATTGGTTTGCACCCTGGTTTTGATTGCTCAAATATCTTTTGTGGTTGTCGTTGTCCTTACTGGCATTGTTCGAATCAATTTACAAACCGCCACGCCACTCTAAGAAAAAGATTTTCCGGTCCGTTTATTTTTCGTCCATTCTTCAAAGGAGGATAGAAAGAAAGTAGGTCCAACTGTAGCATCCAAAGAGTTTGTCTGTCCACCATTACTTTTGAGGCTGAACTAGAATGAATGTATTTGTGAAGTTTTTGACATTTTGGTGCTATTATCGGTGACATTTTTGCCAGTAATGTAAACCACTTGATGGGTGTTGTCATATTTTGCTCTTCTGTTTTGTCCCGATAGAAAACTAATGTGTTCCGTTCTCTTGCAAACGTTTGCTCTTTCTCATTCTGTGTGATTGATAGCATTTGGTGTTTCTTGAGGTCCGTATTTTCATTACGAAAGAGTAGAACGTTTTCTGTCGAGTATAAAAAACATTGCGCTAGCTGCTCTTGAGTGCCCACTTTAACAGCAAATCAATTAGTTTACCTTTCAAGTATCTATTAAACGTTTAGAAGTATCGCATGATAGCAGAATGTGTTTATGGAGAGTCGAGCGTTGGTCGTTGTTGGCCCAGATATAATTCAGATTTCAGGATATTCCGTCAACTTTTATGACGATTCTTTTGGTATTTTTGAATCTGCGTTCCGCTTGGTTGACCCGGGAAGACGTAAATTGAATTTCGTCTCCATTGTTCACTTTTTTGTGTCTGCGTTATTGCCACCAATGCAATAAAGAAAATGTTCCCGGCCTTGGTCCGTTTCCCCTTCTGTGTCTCCCGACAGTGCTTGAAGGACTACAGTTTCCTTTCCTTAAGTTAATTGTGCAGGTGTATTCATTATGAATGAAGCAAACATATTGCTTTTGAAAAGAGTTTTACCAATGGTGTACTATTATTATTATTATTTATAGCTTTTATTGTTCCAAAAAGCCTCTATTCCAATCCAGTAGCAACGATGTCAGCTTTATTCAATGGAAAAAATAGTACCAAATAGAACAAAAGACGTCTAAAATAAAATTGATGACATTTTGTAATTGGTTTAACCTAGTTCACTTGAACAAGTAGTCCTCGTCCGTCTATCCGAGTGATCTCAAACATAAAAATAACCGTTACTGATTTGCATAACCCATATTTTCAATTTTATTTTCATGCTCAGGAAAACTTGTCATTACCTTTTGAATTCTTCTCCAACGTTTGCCAGTTGGTTCTAATCGATTACTTTGGAGATAAATTGGTGCAGAATTTTGTGTGATTAGACATCGAAATTATTTGTGAGCCTTCTCTCAAAAACTGTGGTTAGCAAACTGCTTGCTAGAATAGCATTGAGTTGCTATGTAAAGTATCGTTTATTTCATCTACGGGTAGAGATATTTGAACTGCCATAACTAAAACTGACAGTGAGCATCAACTAATAGTGAATATATCATATGCATTCCAGATAGTCACGTTGCAAGTTGTGTAAGTAGACAACAAGTATTAAATCTGACCACAAGACGTTCAAGAGGAGGTTGACTGTGTCAACAAGAGTGCCAGGGCACTGCACATTTGTCACCCGCAAAGAGAGAGGATCAAAGTGACTTATCTACATCACTTTAATTGAAATCATCACATTCTAAAAACGGTTCCGTGACACTCACTTCTCACTGATACTCAGTGACGGTCACAATGGAAAGCACAAAGGCAAATATATAGTACTTGAAAAGCCATTGAAGTCACCATTATATTCGTGCAAATCCCCGTGGCGGTTGTTAAGTGGTTAAGGGCGCCCTGGAAGTCCTCATTTTGAATCCTGCCACCATCACCCATCTTATTCATTTGTATATTTTCCGAGACAGCCATTGTATGACCGCGGCCACCTTCCATCCAATCGACCGTAATTATATACTCAGTAGGTAGAAAATAAAATAAAAGCATTTCTATTATTATTATATAACCTAGATCGCACATTTTTGAAACGGCAATTGGACCGCATTCTAACGTAGGAGATAGGGTGTTTTGATCTCCACTGTACCGAAGTACTTATAAGAAAAAAAACAGCGTTTCGGAGGTGCTAAATAAGGAAAAAGAACACCTACTTCCCAAAATAACTAAGCCAAAGATGGGGACTTTATGGCAACAGTTAACTAGGTCCAAAGAAAATGGAGTTTGTTTTCAGATAAAAAAGTGTATATTGAGTGTGTTGCGTTAGTTACGGGTTTGGTAAGTTAATCATAAGTTGAAGATAGATGTGCATAGATAACTGGAAGACCACAATGGACATCAACGATACCAATATCTTTGTTTGGAGGATAAAATGCTTTTTGGCTAACAGAATAGTCAAAATCAAAGTCAAAATTGAATTATGGGGATTACCTACAAGCTCATGCTTCTCATGCCCACGTAGGATATTGACACAGGTGAATCTTTTCTCGACGAAAACAAATTACATAGACTTCCAGGTGGGAGATAACAAATAATGCAATCTTCAACGAATTTGCGTTTATCTTTAGTTGTGTAGAAATGTGAGGCGTACCTGGGTTTCATCGAGTCTCCACTTGAAATATACAATAGTTGGTGCACAAACGACGTTAGATGGAAGGGTATTCCAACTCCGACACACGCCAACTGCAAAAGAGCGACGCCAGAATTCCACTCTACATTTTAGAATCAGTAATTTTAAACGATGTCCTCTAAGGTATATATTGTTTGACAACTTGAGCAGCGGTTTGGGTTCTGCAGTACTTGATACGCCAAAATTAAGTCTCCTCAATATCAGGAGTACTGAGTCCCAACGATCATGATCTCTCCTTATAGGTGAGGTAATGCAATTCCTTGACCATATTGGTGGCAGTCCTTTGTGGAAGCTCCAGCATCTTGCGATCACGTTGCAACCATGGACTCCAAGCTTGGAGTCCATGGTGTACGGTCGAATGTACACTGATGGTAAAAGTGAGAACAGCGATGATTTAAACCGATCAAGGACTCGCCTAAGCAAGCCGACATTCGTTACAGCAGCGGACGAAGACCTGGAGCAATTGATCGAGGAACTTAAGTCCCCTTGAACAATTATACCTAAGTCATTCTCACGCGAGGTATGTGGCAGATACTGCTTCACTAGTAGATATGATAATCTACTCTTGTGGCGTAGGGATAGGATTTACATTTAGAAACATTGAATTCAATGTCGTTCTCTCCGAGCCGTTGATAAGCCGCGTTAAGTGTTCCTTGAAGTGGTAGTGAGTCATCAGGTTCTGTCACTGTATTCCAGATTTTGGTGTCGTCTGCAAACAGTATTGTTTTTGTCCCTAACACATTTGGTAGATCATTTATGAATGCGAGGAAAAGTCGGGGACCAAGTACAGACCCTTGTGGGATACCACGGGTAACGTTGATTGAACCGGATAGGAAATCAGAAACACGAACTGAGTTGGTACGTTGTCAGAGGAATGCTCCAATCCAATGAAGCACGAAAGATTAAAATACCGTACTCGTAAAGCTTCTGTAGCAGAATTAAATGCTTATGAGAAGTGCAGATAAATCACATTCACCGCATCCCTTTCTTCGACTATTCTAGCCCGCCCATCTCGAACAAAAAGCAAGTTAGTGGAACCAGATTGCTTTTTGTCTAAACCCATGTTGAGCTGTCAAAAGAATATTGTGGCTCTCAAAGTGTTACCTCAGGGAATCTGCCACAGTTAACTCCATGACTTTCAATAACACCCGAAGGAGGGTGTTAGGTCAGTAGTTAGCGGGGTCACTACAA